GTAGCCCGGCGGAGCTTTGGCAGGGGAACTATCAATCTAGGCCCTAGTTTGTCTGTATTTCTGGCCATATGCCATTTCGGGGGTAGTCTACAAATTGGATCAGTCACACTGCCGTTGGATCTTGCAGGCACACCAAAGTAGCCCTGATCCTAGTAGTCCATTAACCAAACAACATCCCCTAAAAGTAAAGGGCTCTATGAATTAAGCCTCAGAACTAAGTATCTCGACAGCCTAGCTTTCGGGCGCACGTCATACAGCGACTCGCAAGATCTTCAGTGTTTACAGATCGTGCTGGCGGTGATCTGTGAATGTCGAAGCAACGCAAGCAGACAGCGCGAGCTCTGGTACATCCCAAGGGCCCCAAATCATGTTCTCGTTCCCATTACTGTAGCATAGAAATCTGATACCCACACACAGAAGCTTTGTCTCCAAGCCTGGCAGCGCTCCAATTCATATGTGCAGCACTCGATCTAACGCCACACAATATCTCTGTCGCACCCGTAGTCCATACTAGCTCAACGAGACTGAACCTTACGTCCTCTCAGATCACAGGAAAGACCGCATACAGATCATGGGAAATATTGCAAGCAATGCAAACCCAGACGCGACTTACAGCTGGTGCTGTCATCGCTGTATGTTGCCTTGGTCATTTGCATCAAGACTTGCTAATCTTTCCAGGTGATAGAATATGGTCGTTCGCACGCGCCGGAAACAAGTGCCCAAACTGTGGGCATCGGAAGTGTTGGAGAAGGTGCGCCGTCATGGGCCTCGCGAGGACGGATGAACTTTGGATGGAGAGAACTGGATCGAAGAGGTTGAGCAAACGGACGAGGTCACCCATTGTGGAGAGCTTTTGACTCTCTTGCCTGTTTGGCACGATGGCGAGGGGTGGCACTTGCAGTGGGCATGAAGGTGGCTGGGTGCTGCGCTTGTGCCTTCCACATCGGTGATGACGTCATCGGCGCCGCTAGCTACGGAGGCACGCCCGAGGTCCTCTGCATCTGGCATCCACGACCTGCACATGTACGTAGGAGCATCGCATCGCAAGCCTTCCAGCATGACACTATTTCTCATATCGGGCATGCTTTTCGGCGTGCTCGTCTCATTCGGGTACCGCCTGACGCCATTGCTGTTCAGCCCAAGAAGAGTCACTCTGGCATTTTCCCCAGCCTCACTTCGCATGGGGGGGGTCGTGCTAGCGATCCTGTCAATGATAGCAAAATCAATTTTTTACGCAATTCCCGGGTTTCCGCGCATCAAGCTTTCAGCATTAGAGCTTGACTCCCCATTCACTCTAGATGCAGACGATGTTGTTCGGTATCAATCAGCAGTTGGAGGAACAAGCAACACAGGAGAAGAGCTCTCAGCACCGCACCTTATGCTGTTTCTTTCAGCCATGACCGAGCCCGCAATGCTACTTCTACTCGCCAGTCCCTGGTGTCCCATCAATCCACTAGGCGCAGTCAACGTGCGCAATAGGTTCGAGATATTACGCCCCGATCTATGCGACCTGTCGAGACTCGTAGATCTACGAACAGCCCGTCTGAAGGCGATTGCAAGTAACCACCCAAGACCAGCAAAACGAGGCATCGAGTGGGATCTGGAGGTCGTGATCACCACTCCCACTGGTAGGAAGGATGGAACTATGGATATCATCTTTCGCCAGATCTTCACCATGCTAGAACTAAGAGAGCCACAGTCCAAGAAAATCCGGAACAGTTCACATGAGACCAGGTCTAGCATGGCGATACCACAGATGTCTGATAGCACCACACAGGTATCGATGTCAGTCGACGACCCGCTGAAATGGGCTGCGATTTGCAAGGACTACAACTTCATCCACCTATCGGGAGCGGCGGCGAAGGCCTTTGGTCTACCTGGAAAGATTGCGCATGGAAATCACACAGTCGCTAAAGCTCTACATCTACTGACGGACTCAAAAAGCTTGCAGCCACCGTTCACCACTTCCTCATGGATGGAGGTGCAGTTCAGAAGGCCTATGGTTGTACCCGGTGTCTTTGATGTCAGTTTACGCGAATCTGGCAAACCTAGCAAGACGCTTTCAGTTTCTTTTCAGGGAAAAGACTGCGCGATTGCGGAGTTCGGGAGCCTTCAGCAATGAACACACCGAGATAGTACTCGGCTACCGTCTGGGACCGTTCTTGAAAAGATGTGTCAACTAGGGGTGGCTACAATTTGTGTCACATTCTCCTAGGATATCATTTGGCTCTCCGAGAAGTATACCTTATCTTGGGGACTACTAATTTATTAAGATTGAGATGTATGTAAGCGGCAAAGTGCTTCATGACTTCTATCCACCCCTGGTGGGGAAAATCTTGCATGAGAAAGCATGTATAAGTCGACATGATGTTGCATTTTTGGTCGACTTCAAATAGCTTCAACAATCCGTTGTTCCACTGTCTCCATCAGTGCAGTCAGAGCACATCGATCCTCCTCCTGAAGGTCTGTCTCTTGCCTACGCTGAGCTTCTTCTTCAAGCTCAGGCTCGTAGACGTCCCACCCAATTGGCTCAAATCCCGGTGGTTTGCGACAGTCAAGGGAGTAGTAAGCTGTCATGGGGTGATCGGATCGCATGTTGTAGCGGCTATGGAAGGGATAATCCTGCGAATAGCCCAACTTGAAGTGCCGAAGACGTTCGAGGCCAACTCGGAAGCGTTCGAATAGATGATGCCAACGAATATCCGGTTCAACCTCCCATTCAGGTCCATAAGAAAGACCGAAGCTGTCAAACTCATCGTCACCCTCATCATCACTCCCTTCGTCACCCTCATCATCACTCCCTTCGTCACCCTCATCATCACTCTCGTCGTCACCCTTTTGTGGAAGTAGCTGAGGGAAGTTCGCTTTCATTCCCCTGTCGAGCAAAGCCATATAACGAACAACACCGCAACCGCAAAGAAGTAGACTTTCCAGTGTAGCTCCATGCGCGACGATCCAGTCGACCTGCCAGTCATGCGCGATGGTCCAATTGCCAAAACACAACGACTTGAGGTGTGGAAACGGTTCGACCTCTCGGAAGTCCGTGAAAGGCCAGACTCCCCAGAGGCAGTCGCAATCGAGTGTGAGACTAGACAATTGTTTATAAACTCAGAATACGGCTCACATATAGCTCGACGGTCGTGCAGGAAGACTTACCGTGTGAGTTGGTTGGTGGTAGGCTTCAACCAGTACTTTGGGAGAAACCGTCTCAGACCATTGTGCGCCGCGTCTGCCCAGGTTTCCCGTCCCTCTTGTGGATTCACGTGGTATCTCAGGATTCTCAGTTGCAGTTCTGTCAAACGCTCTCTCACGGCCAGGAAACTTTTAGATTCCATAATATTCCGAGGCATTGCATCTTGCAAGTTCTGGATCGTAAGACTTTCGAAGCTCTCGCTCTGCGCTAAAGCCTGGAAGCAAAGGTCCTGGATCTCCGCCCGGAAAGATTCACTCTCTTCAACCTCCACCATGTTCTCTCTGTATCTGGTCATAACATAATCGTCTACGGTACAAACGCTCGAGAACTTTAGCTCTACTCGCTTTAATCCCTCCAGCTGTGCAAGTTTTGCGATGGCGTCGGCGAAGGTAGAGAGGATGTCGGGGTACCCCTCCACTTGTTCATCGGGATGGTCGGAAGTATTGATGATGGCATGACGTACATGCTTTCGTAAAGAGGAATGGAAGATATTCAAGAACCTTTCAGGGCTGTTTTCGACGTTCGTGAAGGATACTGTGCGGAAGAGACTCTCGGAAGCTAATTCGTGGAATCCTTTGCTTACCAGGCGAAGGGCCTTAAGTGCCGCCAAATCGTCGGAAAGAAAATCGATGCAACCCCGTTGGAGTTCGACAGGTAGTTGGATCATTGCGCTTACCTACCTGGGTGAGCAGCAAGTGTTTTGGCTATGACCATGGTGGACGCGAGTGGCCCTTTTGTACCTAGGTAATTACCTAGGCGCAGCACAACACGTCATTTCGCCTTGCATGAAGCTGCAGCATTCGATAAGAGGTACATATCGCTACAGCCCAATTTAGGTATAATGTAAGTCATCTGTCAGGCGTGCAAGTCTAAGGATCTTGGTTGCCTAATCATACGGTTGGGACCACGCTAGAGCCTTATAGGTATAGCTGCAGGCTACATCGCCTTTTCTTCTCGAGTTATGAGGGACACCACTTTCTCTTCACGACACTACTACCACTTCTAGCCTCTCTTAATGAACACTTTCCAGACTTTACCGATCACAATCCGTGAGCAGATTTATCACGAGCTCTTGACCTACACTCCAGCTGGATACAGCGATCCGTATCTTTCAGATGCCGAGACGGGACGTGTAGTAGCTCCAAGACCCGGAACCCGCTGCTTAGATGTACCTCCTCAGACGTCTGCACCCTCATCGCCATTATGTAAGCTGCTTACATTGAGCCGGCAAATCAACGCAGAGATCTTCCAGTTTTTGAGACTCCAACTGTGCGTGGTTGTCAAAAGTAATCACCCAAAGTTTCTTCGGAGCATCTTTGACAAAACAATACCCGTGCTACCCGGGTGTCCAACCCACAACTCCCGCGGCCGCCGGGTGGATTGCCCGCGCGTACCACTTATCTCACAACTGCAATCCTGCGATGAGATTGTCAAGAAGGACTTTTCAGGTTTTCCTGTGGCAATGGAACTAGAATTTTACACGCCCTGTTCCCACCGCAACCGCGATCATATGGAGAATACGTCGTGTTTGTTGCTGCCAGCCTCGAGCCTGCCGATCTTGATCCGTATTGGCAAAGGTCATCAAAATCGGTGAGTAATTGCAGTTCTCATTATACCATGAAGGCGGATCTTAACCTGCGTCAGGTTTGGAAGCACTTCCCTATATGTGTCGCTTTTTGAGACATTCTCACACACGCTTGAACGAGCCCAAGAGATCCTCATTGAACCTCTGTTGATTCCCATTTCGAAGGCCCGCATTAGATTTCACATTGTGAGCACCAATGACATGATCACTTCTCCTTGGACCATGAAGTTAAGAGAGCACTTGATGAGAGAGCGGCCTGCTATTCACTGTCTTAACCATCTGGACGATATCAAGCATGCTCGTATGGCCTATGCATATCTTTGCGACAACATACGCAACGACACATCGAGAGACGGGGTTCTTGAATTATGGCTCCGGACTTGCGACATCGCTGCAGGCGAAATACAAGCCCTCTGCCATCGCGCAGGTATATTGGAGTCGAAAGAGGAAGACCCAACTGGTTCATCCGACAGTGTGGCATTGCTCCAGAAAGCGCGCAAGGATGCTGAAGAGATGATCAGTTTCTTATCTGATCAGCCCATGTGTGCGCAAGAAGCGTCGCTAGCTTCAAAAAAATGGCAGCTTGAAGTTGGCAAGCTTAAATCTCTGTTGAGCTTCAGGGCACATGTCGTTTGCAAAGCCCTTGGGGATATAGACGCCGCCATTGGATACCTCAAGGAAGCGATCAAGCATGACCCTAACTGTGCAGAGAACCCAGAGGACCGACCCCCAACAAAGTGGATCTTTGGTGTTGGTAGCTGGACACATCCTCGGTCTGTCTACACTCGTGGAACGCCACTCAGTAACGTATACCTCGTAGAGAACCCAGTAGAGATGCTGGACAACCTGAAAGCCGAGCGTGGAACAAGCAGCGAAGAGGACGCCTCCCGAGTGGTACGATGGGAGGTCCGTATGTAAAGACGTTCCAGAATCCGATTATTACGGGCTGAGTGCAAATCGAAGAAAACGTACCGATATCTCGAATGGTCACAGTGGAGTTCGCAAGTGACGCTAGCACCCCGCAAACAGGTTCAAGATGCCGAGGTTCATGCCTCCTCTCCCCCACAGCTCTGCCGACATGGCTGAATCGACCTTGACGCGTCTGCGCATCTCTGTGCATACACACATACCTCCTTGAAGCTTGCCTAAAGTCGATCGACCTCACCTCTACACCCAATTCCACCTCAGCCACCCCACAACCCTCCATCCACACCACCACCCACGATGACGCACGCCGCCTCCAAAGACGACCTGCGCGTCAGCACGCTCTTCGACTACACCTCTCACGTCGTCCTCGTAACAGGCGGCGCCACCGGCCTGGGCGAAATGGCCGCGCAAGCCTTCATCCAAAACGGCGCGCGCGTCTTCATCGCATCCCGCAAAGAATCCGAACTCGCCGCCACAACCGCGCGCCTCAACGCCCTCGGCCCCGGAAAATGCTCCTACATCGTCGCGGATCTAAAAGACAAAGCCGGCTGCCTCGCTCTGTGCACGGAGCTGAAGAAGCAGACGGACCGCCTGACGGTGCTGGTGAACAACACGGGCGCGAGCTGGGGCGATGATTACTACAACTATCCGGAACATGCGTGGGATAAGCTGTATGCGTTGAATGTGAAGAGTATATTTTATATGACGGTTGAGTGTGAGGGGTTGTTGGCTAAGGGGGCGGATGCGCATAATCCTAGCAGGGTTATTAATGTTGCTAGTATGGCGGGTATTACGACTGTGGATGTTACGACGGGGGAGGGTGGGGGGTTGAGTAATCCGGGGACGGGGACTTATAGCTGTATGTTCGCTGTCGTTCTTACTTTTCGTGAATCACTCTTACTGACGGACTCTATAGATGGCCCAGCAAAGGCGGCATGCATCCACCTCACCAAGATGCAAGCCTCGAAACTCGCCCCGAAGAACATCATGGTCAACGTCATTTGCCCTGGCGTCTTCCCCTCGCGCATGACGAACTTCGGGTTGGAGAAATTCGCAGATGCGTTGACGGCGGGACAGCCGACTGGCCGTATTGGCAAGCCGAGTGACTTTGGTGGGCTGGTCTTGTTCCTGAGTAGTAAGGCGAGTGCGCATATCACGGGTAACGCCGTTGAGATGGATGGTGGTGCTACGTTGACGGGGTGGAGAGGGAAGGTGGGTGGTAGTAGCGAGAGCAAGTTGTGAACAAAATGTGACGGGTATCATGTGATTAATTGATGGTTCTGCTACACATTGGCAGGAGGTATTCATGTCCAATATCCTTCTTTCACCTGCCCTACCAAGGACTACTGCATCCCCTACGAGAGCTGAGTAGCCAACTGGGTAACCTGATCCATAATCGCTTGATCCTCCCTGATGTTGTTCTCGATAACCTTGTCCCTCAAGTGGTCGACCTGCTGAGCTGGGTCGGTAGGCGGCTGACCCCTCGCGGTCTGGATCCGTGAAATCTGCATCTCGAGGAAGAACTTGGGCGCCTTGATGATTCCGAAGTTGCCTCCCGAGCTACGTAGACCGGCCTCAGTGGCAAGGTAAACGTTGAGTGCGTCCTGGAAAGCTTCGAGGTTGGAGTCGGCGAGCGGGACAGCGGTGAAGAAGGTGCTGGTGGCGAACTCCATTGGTTTTTGACCAGAGGCAGCGAAGTTGATCTTGGAGAAGGTTTGGCCGCCTGAGGTCACGTCGGGGACGTTTTCGATTGTCTTTGCGTTGGCGTCGCAGGTGACCTTGTCTTGGATTTGTTGGACTACAGTGGCCGTCTCGCCTGGAAGGGCTTCGTTACCGATGATGAAGCAGGCATTGCCTTGACGGGGTATGATGTTGGCGGTAGGAGCAGCAATGACAAGGCTGCTGAAGAGCGTGAGGGCGGTGAAGGCGTGGATGTACATCTTCGTGTTCGTCTTCGAAGATTCCGTCTTGTATGTATACGACAAGAAATATATAACAGCGTTGAATGGGTATAGTGATAATCAACGAGCGTTCAATAAAAGCAAGGTAAAACACCCTAACCGGAGGGCAAGCAAAAGAACGAAAAAGAGAACGTAAGTGTAAAGACTGACTAGGGCGAACGACGAAACCGACGAAAAGATCGATACTCGAAAACCCACAACGGCGGCCACACCCCTTCTCTTATATAAAAACCACAACCACCATCGTGAGATCATACCCCCTCAGGCGCGTAAACGGCAACAAGGCACACCTCCCTGTATCACCAGTTCACGACCAAAACACTTCGCGACATTTCTGACAGGGCTGTCACGTCCACCTGGTAGGGGCCGACGCGACGTTTCTGGTTTGAGATGATCGATACCGTCTTCGCTTAGGCCCAAGGCGGCTGCCGAGCTCCGAGAACCTCTCTGTTTCTACCAATAGCAGGTGGGTCGCTATTGTGCATCGTGGAGTGGGGCCTGGTTTTTGGCGGACATGCGAAACGCGGTTTGGCTGTTGGAGGGCATGCAGGATGGCTTCAGGAGCGTATGCAGGATCGCTTCAGGAGGACAAGAAGGAGTTGTTCAATGCCGCTTTGCCCGAGGTGAGGGGATTGAGGCGCAGGGCGGGCGGGCTTTTGCAGACATGTGGGTGCGCGATTGAAGCGCAGTCATGGACCGCGGTCATGCATACCAGTTGGGGTGTGGTGGAGGAGTCGGTACTGGTTACGGGAAACGGTTCTGGAAGGCTGGGTGACTAATGGGTACAAGCGCCATCATGACGGAGCCGGCACATCGGCACTGAACACCATAACAGCACACGTATAAGTCGGTAGTTCGATATTTTGATCCACGAAGGGAATATCGTAATCTACATACAAACGGCAGCAACACTGGTATCAACCGTATGCCCTGACACCAAGCCCTACTTGCTCTCCATCAATCCTAATCTCGAGCAAACGCCAATCCGAGAGTCCGTCTATGCATGTATAAAAGCGCCCCCGTCGCGTTTCCAATTCAATGCCCGCATGCGCCATGCTTTGTGCGTACAAGTTCCGAAGAGAAGTATGTAGAATAGACAAAGGAGAAACAGAAGCCGCTCAAGCGATGCTGGTATGACCATAAATCCACTTTTGAAATCCAGAATGCGAGGGAAATAAGAGAAGAGAGGAGTTTGTGTTAGGCTGGTGAGGCCTCGAGATTATGTATAGGCCGTTCCACGTGTTCGGTAACAGGGTCTTTGCCCTTCATCGTTGGTTGGTCGTCGGACGTTCGTTGCGTCTCTTCGGCAATGTCGCTCATGTCAGACTCGCTGTCAGAGTCGGATTGTTCTATTCTAAAGGACTCGCGAAAGTTTGCTGGAGTTATCGTCTGAGACGATACGTGTCGCTGCTTTGTGGTGCCTGCCGACAACTTCCGAGGGCGAAACGGGTCGTTGTCTTCGCTTCCTGGAGAGAGCGCAGCTGCCGCGCCATCCCGCTCATCGGCAGAGATCGCTTCGGCAGCCTCCTGGAGTTGTTTCTTCGCCGCCAAGCGCTCCTCGGCTGTGGTGTTGTGCCAGTCGGAGCCGAATTGGATCACAGATGCCTTCTTGCCATGGACTGTAAAGCTGCCCTTGCCGCGCGCCAGTCCCTCGCTCTCGGTATTGTCGCTCGCGAGCGTGATTGTCGACGACGAGTCTCTGCTCTTGTGGCTGCGGCGGTGAGAAGAGCTGCCACGGGACTCTCGAAGAGTGCGCTGTAGACTTCTTCTTTGCTTTGTGTGAGACCTGGGCGATCCTGTCAAAGCAGCAAGGGATTGTTCGTAGTCAGAATCAATGACAGGCTCTGGTCGGGGGCTCTCTCCAGGTGTCGGCTCTGGTGACATGGGCTCCAAATCACCTGCCTCGCCTGGAGGCGGAGTCGCGTACCGAGACCCGTCCTCAGAGTCAGAGTCAGAATCGGAGCCCAAGGTGCCATCGCCAGTCGTCGATATTGAAGGCCTGTGGTCGGAGGGATACATCCTCGGAGAATGTGCCGAAGAGCTCGCAAATGAGCTTCGACGATCAGATGAGCCAGGGCCAAACATAGGCCCAGGTTGAAATTGGGCCGATGGATCCCTGGGGCTCGACTGCCGAGATGTCTCCGGTGGTGTCTTGAATGCTTCATCTCCACCGAATTCAGTCTCCCTAGAGGACTTGGTTCCTGGTCGACCCGGTGAGGTGGGAGACAATGGAGCTTGCTTGTTTCCGCTATTCATTGAGCTGGTCTTGGAAGTCAACCGCGCTAGTCCACTAACTTTTGACGCTCTGTGCGATAACTGTTGAGGCGAGACTTGCGGCTGTTGAATAAATTCCGAGGGCTGGTCATCTTGCGCTTGTTTATCTGCGAGGCCTTTTCTCTCGTCCTCCAATTCTTGAGCAAGTATGTCACGATGACATTTCATCCGCCAAATGTCGATACGGGTCCACTTAAGCTTGGCTGATAACCGACCGGCAGCGTGTATGACCAGTTCACGAGTTTTGGGTTGAATGGGTGCAAGAATCTGGAGATGTCTTGCATCTCGTAAGCGTGCTTCCAACTCTTTGATAGCATTGGTGAGCTTGTCCTCGGACTCCGTAATGCGCACCTGCATGAGATCTTTCCTAGCGTTCATCATCTGTTGTGCAAACTGATTGTCGATCTTGCCACTTGTTATGGTGACTTCGCCGGTGGCGGTTGGTATCGTCTTGGTCGAGTGGGATGACTCCAGGCGCCGCATGCCACGGTTCTTCTGGCCTTCGTACAGCCCACCAATCATGCCTCTTGACCGAACGCCCAGCGTTTCAAACGCAGCAGTATAATTCAGCACACCCAGCCACTCATTCAAGTCCTTCTCGTTGTCGGCTAGGAATGTCTCCTCGCCTGCCTTGGAGAACATGACAAACGCATTCTTATGTTTCTTGTATGTGGCGTCGACAAGCGCAACCGCACCGTCCATCGGGATGATGTGGTCTTGCTTGAAGTCGGGTAGGGCAGGCTGGAATATTACCGG